CTGTTCTATATCTTTATTAGAGTATGAATTAAGTGGGTGTGTACATGTGCCAGAGCTGTTGGAATTGCGGTAGAATATATTGGATAGTGGTAGGAAATGTCCCCAAAACAATCCTAACACCCGGTCAGGAAGGCCCATGAGGTCATAGAAGACATTATCATGTGGTGACAGCCCCTCCCTGGCAGTGTATGCTATGGCAAAAGATGGAAATGCATAAGCCAGGTTTCCAGACAGTTTCAAAATCCAAGGATGTCTCTCTTCATGCATACCCAGTCTATGTCTTCTCAAATGTTTACAGAGTATTTACAAAAAGTAGTCCTTCGGCTGGCAGTTGTAATTAGCGAAACTGGCAGCAAAAATTAACACATACCATAAAAGAGGGATAATGACTCCACTCACTGTCATATACAATATTATTATCAAATGGTATTCACCCAAGAATCCAGTTGGTTCCTGCACTCCAGCCCTCGTTGTTATAAGAAATAACTCCCTTCCTCATTACTCTAAGTATGAAGCCGCCATGCTCCTGGAATAGTATACCATATGGTACTTAACACAGAATCAAAATGAGCTGGGGTGTGTGTGTGTGTGTGTGTGTGTGTGTGTGTGTGTGTATGTGTGTATGTGTGTGTGTGTGTGTGTGTGTGTGTATGTGTGTATGTGTGTGTGTGTGTGATGCTGAAATTTATTAGAAAATCAGAAAGCCTAATTTCTATCAAGTTCCTGAGACCTGCCATCTGCTGCATGAAAAAGAGAGACGGTTTTTTTTTTTTAACCATTTACTTAATGTGAAATGTGAGTGTGTGGGCGGGCGGGCTTGAAAGAGCAGGGTGGGGTGGAGGGCTGTAAGACAGAGCCAGAGCAAGCCCACTTGGCAGGCCAGAAAGAAGAATTGTCAGCTGAATGGTGGCAAAAGCTTGGGAAGCATAATTATGGAAATGATCTATTCCCGAGACTTTCTTTTTCTCCTCCTGACCACATGTCTCTTCTACATAGGATCAGCGCATAGAGCTCAGCTTTCACAAATATGCGGTGCCCCTGATCCAGAATGCAGTGGGGCTCGTCTGTGTGAGTGTTAGGTCTCTGCACTGAGGAGGTGGTGTGAACCAAAGCCCGAGGGAGAGTAGTCAACAAGGGAATCAGAAAGCCTCAGGGACTGAGGTGTCCAGTATTCTTTCTCAGGGGAGCTTCAGATAGAGGGCTAAGCTGGATGGGAGAGGATCTGAGCAGGGGAAGGCAGTGAGGCTGGAGATGCTGGGAGAGAGATGGATGATAACATGCTTCTGGGTGCCTGGTGTCTGCCTCAGCCTCTAGCACATCAGAGATGCTGTCTTAACCATGAGTCACAAGCAAATAGCCACTCTGTTCCTATAGAATTCACACCAGAGGGACTACCACACCCTCTCTTGACTACATAGTATTGTTTTTATCTGTCTACCTCTATCATCTATCTCTATCATCAATCCTCTATCATCTAGATCTCACGCAATCATCTATCTATACGTATCATTTGACTCTATCATCTATCTATTTTCATGTATGTATGTAGGTGTGTTTGCATATATGCATGCATGTGCATGTATCTATATCTTCTATCGATCAATTTCTATCATCTATCTGTATTTATCATCTATCTATCTATCTATCTATCTATCTATCTATCTATCTATCTATCTATCTATCTATCTATCATCAGTACTGGAGTTTGAACTCAGGACCTCAAGCTTGTTTGGCAGATGTTCTACCACATGAGCCATGTCCTAGTCTTTATTAGCCTCTTGTATTTCTGCCTATGTATACCTGGACTGAGGTCTTCCTACTTAAGTCTCCCAGTAGCTAGAATGACAGGTGCATAAACATGTTCAGCTTACTGGTCCAGATGGGTTCTCAAGAACTTTTTGTATATATGTGTGCTGGTCCTGGGGCTTGGACTCAGGGCCTGGGCACTGTCCCTACACACTTTTGTTCAAGGCTAGCACTCTTACCATTTGATCCACAGCTCCACTTCTGGCTTTTTTGTTGGTGAATTGGAGATAAGAGGCTCACAGACTTTGCTGCCCCAGATGTCCTTGAACCTTGATCCTCAGACTTCAGCCTTCTGAGTAGCTAGTATTACAGGTATAAGCCAACATGATTGGCTACCTAAAGTTTTTGCTGAACTCTGATCCTCCTCATGTCTAATTCCTGCATAGCTGGGGTTATAGGTATGAGCCACTAGACCTGGCACTTTGTTTATATGTACTCTTTTTTTTATTTTACACTGGCGCTGACAGTCTATTGGAAACTACCATAGCAATAATCATGGGATCAGGTTAGTGGCTGGGTTTCTCCTGACCATAAACAGTCTATCTAGATTAACATGGAACAGTAACATGGAGGCCTTTCTTGGATGGTACCCAGAGTACTTTGCTCACAGACCCCTCCACAGACAATGAGGCAGCCTTGTGAAGGACCTAGTGGTACTTTGGTAGCCAACTTCAGGATTCTTGGAATTTTCTGGTTGCAGAGAAGCCACTTCCATCCTCAGGTGCTCACCACGGTGATGTCATGCAGATCAGTGACCATTGCTGGTCTGTCAAATGAAAAGATGAGTGATTGAAAACTCTCATCAGCTGCCATGGATCTTGGCTTCCCATATCAAACTCTCAGAAAGAATCCAACCCCAGCCCACACTCTGTGGAGGAATAGAGGTGCGTGTGCACGCGTGCGTGTGTGTGTGTGTGTTACACAGCGAGTTTCTGAATTTGTAGCTGGATTCCATAGGAATGGAAGATGAGCATGAGGGTCTAGCAAGACCAGGATGAGCTCATTCTCCAAGCCCTATGAAGGTGGAAAACCTGCAGGGCTTTGCCTCCTCATGTTCTGTTTCTCTATGGCAGAGAGCCAGGCCCTTGCTTGGTGCTGGTATGACAGCACTACTATGTGTTGGCAGCTCAGGGAGATGCTGTAGCTTTCCCAAGAGTTTAGCCCCCCACAATGGGTGCCCCTTGGGGTGCCAGGCAGCCGGCCCCACTCACTCACAGGCAGGAGGAGTTGCACTTTTCACTCCCTGGGTGACTGAGTGTTTACCAGTTTGCTCTTGGCTAGAAGGTGAGTGAGAATGATGAGTTCCTAATTTCTCCAGGGAGCTCCCAGACTGCTTCAAGATCAGCCTTGGTCAAGATCAGTATTGGGTGGTGCTGCAGGCCTAGGCAAATCCTTAGGTCAGGGATACTGGGGTTCCACCGTGGTCACAGGGCCTGAAGACAAGCCACGGGGCAGCACCATGGTAAGCAACCTTCTTACCCGTATTCTTTTTTTTTTTTTGTAGCCAGTCGTGGGGCCTGAACTCTGACCCTATCCCTCAGCTCTTCAGCTCAAGGCTAGCGCTCTACCACTTGAGCCACAGCACTACTTCTGGCTTCTTTTTTGCTTATGTGGTGCTGTGGAATTGAACCCAGGGCCCTCATGCATGCAAGGCAAGCGCTCTACCACTGAGCCACCTTCCCAGTCCCTCTTACCCGTATTCTGACTCCTGGACCCCACATGTTGAGCAATACATCATTGTTCAGGTTGTATGTTCTGTAAGAAGCGTGGCTGTGGCCTTCCAAGCATTGATGCTCGATGTGTGCTTAACATATTATATCATCTAGCTGGCCTTATGAAGAATGGCACATCCCAGCACCACTTTCCAGATGAAGTAACAGAAAGTGGGGGAGACTGAAGGGGTCAAGATCAGGGTCAGACAACAGGTAAGACTGAGGGTCAGCAATCAGCTGGTTGGTTCTGACTTCAGAATCATTCCTCCATGACCCTGCAATAGCCCTCCAGCTGAGAAAGCACGATCATTTCCCGCTTAGCTCATGAGAAGACTAGGTTCAGAGAGGTTTGACAGCTTACCCAGACACATAGCTTCAAGACACAGAAACAGAAATCTATTTGTCTCCAGAGCCCAAACCTTTTCCTTTCAGGAGCTATACCTCTCTCTGGGTTCAAAAGAGGGATTATTATGGTAGGGAGTCCCTCGTTCCCCATCCAGAAGCCAGCCAGTATAGTAAGCAGGACTAGAGCTGGAATGAGGACAATCATGGTTACAGGACAAGGACTGGGATAACTTGTAACATTTTCAGATTTTTTTTGTATTCCCTCCCTCTCTTCTTTCCTTCCTCCCTTTCTTCCATCTTTCCTTCCTTTCCCTTCCTCCTTCCCTCCCCCCTCTCCCTGTCCATCTCTCCTTCTTCCTCTCTCTCTCTCCTTCTCTCTCATTTCCCCCTCTCTCTTTCTCTCTTTTTTTCTCTCTCTCCCCCCAGGACTGGAGCTTGAATTCAGGGCCTGGTCTCTGTCTCAGACTTTTTCACTCAAGGCTTGTGTTCTACTTCCTAAACCACAGCAGTTTTGTTGTTGTTGTTGGTGGTGGTGGTCATAGGGCTTGAACTCTGGGCTTGAACACTATCCCTCAGCTCTTCACTCAAGACTAGCACTCTACCACTTGAGCCACAGCATGACTTCTGGTTTTCTGGTAGTTTATTGGAGATAAGAGTCTCATGGATTTTCCTGCCTGTGTTGGCTTTGAACTGGAATCCTTAAATCTCAGCCTCCTGAGTAGCTAGGATTACAGGTGTGAGCCACTGGCACCTGGCCCACAGCAGTTTTTTTTTTCCCACAGCAGTTTTTGATGGTTAGTTAGAGATAAGAAATGTAAGCCAGGCTTGCACCTGTAATCTTCACTACTGAGTAAGGTTGTTGTTCTAGGCTAGCCCAGACAGAAAAATCTATGAGACTCTTACCTCCAATTAACCACTGAAAAGCCAGAAGTGGAGCTGTGCTTCAAGGGGTTCCCTGTGTGGGGAGTAAACACAGCTCTTAAACAAAGTCAAGAGAATCCAGGAAATGTTGTAATTTGGGTCCTCCAAGTTTTGGGTCTTGGTGTGCATTTCCTAAGGGGACATAACGGAAAGGTCAGTGAGGATTTCATGCTTCATTATACACATCTTCCCTCTCATTCTATGTTCTAGTACGGATTTATTAACACCTGTCTACAGTCGCTGGTCATAGAGAAGTTTGGTGAAGAGACATGGGAAAAATTGAAGTAAGTCTGTTAAAGAGACAATGGAGCCCTGGGAGCCACCAGTGAAGTTTCAGGTCCTTAGCTGGTCATGGGGTTTGCTGACTTATGATTAAGCCAATTAGGTGACTAGCCTTACTATAATGTTACGATGACCATTCTCAAAAAGATTCAGTTGCTAAAAATATTAGTTCTTACTTAGAGCCAGAAAAGAAATGGATAAAGCACATCTGATGTTAAGGAAAGTATCAATCTCTTGAATTTTCATCTCTTGAATTTTCATTTGCTGTTTTTGTTTTTGGTGATGCTGGGATTTGAACTCAAGGTCTGGCACTTGCTAGTCAAGCACTTGCTTTTGCTTAGGATTAGCCTCAGACTGACCTCCTACCTTTATCTCCCTTGTAGCTTGGATTATAGGCATTTTCCTTAACACCTGGCTTTTTCTTTTTTTTTATTGTGAAAATACTGTACAGAGGGGTTACAATTACATGAGCAAGATAATGAGTACATTTTGTATCAAGCATTGTAGCCTCCTCCTTTGTTTCCCCTTCCCATCCTTCCCCCGCCCCCAACTCAATCCTCTCCCTCCCCCAAAGTTGTAAAGTTCGTTTTCGATATAACAACTTGTACAAGGTCTTGATAACTTTTTGCCCTGGTGGATCCTCCTATCTCTACCTTCTAAGTGGCTAGGATTGCAAGTATGAGCTATTCTGCTTGGCTCTCATTTGCTCTGTTTTTAATCACAGAAGAGAAAATAATGATTATTATTTTCATCACATACCAATGGAGTTTCTGGTCAGAAGAAAAGACGACTCTTCTAAATTTGACCAGAATAACTCCTTAGACATTCTCTAGTTAATTCTTAGATTTCCATGCCCCTAGCTAGCAATCCCTGTCATTTATATCTGCAAATACTTTCCTATGTGTTCCCAGTAATCACATGTTGTCTAGCTGCTTTCTTGGAGGCTCTCAGCCTTCATGTTACAGGTCAGTCAGCTGATCCTATAAGGAGAAGAGACTACAAAAATATGAAAGGATGGGTTGGCTGCCTTCGTTAACCAATGACATACAAACTGAAGCAAGTAGGTGTTGGTTTGCCAGTTAAATCTCCAAATATTTAGGTGATAATAATCACTTCTAGTAAAGTTGCAGCAAAATGGGTAATGGTTCATGGCATTGTCACTCAGTGCAGACCTTTTGGAAAACAGTTTTGATAGCTTGTACTAAGAGCTGTAAAGGATCAGACTTTTTGAAGTCACAAGCCTATTCCTGAGAATCTCTTCTCTTGGAAGCCTACACTTTTACAAAAACATATGTAGACACACATACGCAAGAAGATGAGATGTGGCTTGTGTCTATTAAAAATATGAGAAAAATGAAGTTGTCCATGGTTCAAAAACAAAACAACAAACAGATGGAATGACAAAAGAAATGTCATCCATTGTATGATGATTGCAAAGGTCAGTAGATGATCTGTCCAATTTCATAACCATCTTAAGAAACAACAAACGAATAAACATTTACACAGATTTACTTGGTCAATCACACAAATGAAGCATTAAGAGACAGGCTTTTCCTAATACCTATTACTCAAGCTTCTTTTTTCTCTTTCTCAATTTTTTTCTATGTGTTTAAATTTCTCTTTATATAAAATAACTTGAGCCAGGCACTGGTGGCTCATTCCTGTGATCCTACCTATTCAGAAGGCTGGGATCTGTAAGATCATGTTTTGAAGCAATCCTGGGAAGAAAAAGGACTCCATTTTTAATTAACAAGCAAAAAGTTGGATTGGAGGTGTGGTTCAAGTAATAGAGTACCAACATGAGCAAACAAGCTGATCAAGTAAGCAAGAGGCTCTGAGTTCATGTCCTTGTGCTGGTATGTTGTATACTTTAGATCTATTTGATATAAATAATGATTTAAAACAAGGCACAGGGGGCACATGGCTATAATCTTTAGCTAACCAGGAGGCTGAGCATTTTCAGATCCCATGAGTCTCCATCTGTAATTAATCAGCAAAAACTAGGGCTAGAGAGGTGGCTTAAGTGGTAGAGTACCAGCTAAGCAAGTGTGAGGCTCTGAGTTCAAACCCTCATACAAGAAAAAATGAAAGTTTCTCACTCTTCTTGCCACCTCAAAATTTCAAAATAGCTAGAACTAAGCCTACAATGACTTCCCTACAACTATGTGGTTAAATTGAAGTAGACTGGGTATAGCTTCACATCCTGGGCCCATAGAGCCCAGTATTGGTGCAGCCTATTCCTGCACACATGGTGACCTGGCACCCAGGACCATGTTTTCAACAACTAAGGGGTGTTTTGTTTGAAGCTCCACAAGTTTGAGTAGAAAAAAGAGTAAACTCAGGAAGAACAGAGGAAGGAAAGAACTGAACACTTCCCTTGGAAAAGGCACCATACACAATTATCTTATTAAAACCCAAACAAAAATACTGTAAAGCAAATAGTTTGTTTCACAGAAAGAAACTGAGTCCCAGAAAGGCCCTTGTGGGACATAGCACAGTAAGCAGATTGCCAGGCCTCAAAGACACCTCTTTCTACTTGGCCACTCTGTGCAGGAAGGAATCCCAGTTTGTGACTTCCACCAAGTCTCTGGATGGAAGGAAAGAGTATCCATTTATACATGCATCTACTGAGCTCCTGTAGTGTTCCTGGTACTGTGGAAAACATTGGCAGATTAAAGAACAAAACCCGTTGCCTGGGTGTTTTTTATAATCTGCCCTAACGTTACATTTACCCCTGGAAGGCAGGAACTGGGGTATGAAAGGCCATGTACCATGGGACATTGGGATCACTGACTCTGCCACAAATTGGACAGGGAGAAGTCAGCCAAAGCCCTGTGCTCTCTTGCCTGCTGAGGATTCCTGCCTCTACCCAGGGGTGATCAGACTTAGGAGGGGGTGGGGTGGGAATAACAGACTGTGATATGGATATCGCGAAGTGGGGTGAGGACCAAGATTTCCATTCTCAGAAGTCGACATAGTTGCAAGTCCATAGCAAGCTGTCATTAGATTCACTAAAGATACAACAGCCCAGAAGCATTGCTTACTTTATATGACCTGGAACCAAAATATTTAACCACTCGATGCCCTAGATATTTCATTACAGAAGAGTAATCTCTCTGGGAGGACTTGTTGCAGGTGTTAAATAAGACAATACATAACAGTCAGAAAAAAATGCCTAGCCTGTGGTGAGTGGTAGATAACAGTCAGCGGTTGTAATAGAAGTCGCTCTCTGTTCACTTATGTCTGGGATGTGGATCTTCAGAAAAGATGGGGAGGTGCAGAAGGACAGCAACATGTGTGTCTTGCTGGACCAGCTTTAAGCCAAGGTCCTTTAGAACCTGGGCAGGTTGCTTCACCTCTGAATCTTTCACTGCTCATAGATGAAAGGGGAATGATGCACCTATCTTCTAGGATTGAGGACAGGATCAAGTGGACCAATCTATCCCATAGTAACTAGTAGGAACTCGGTGGGCCTCATTGTCCCTCACTTCCATTACACAGATGCAAGACCAGAGGCAGGTTGCATTTGGCATTAGAAATCATTTGGTTACTAGTCACATAACTGTGTTGTCCCTCTGAGGGAGCACATGCTCTTCCCAGCTCCCTTCTTTACCCAGAGGAGACCATGCTTCTTGAGTGAGCATGACTTGATAGGTAGCTCTGTCTTGCTCCATTTTTCAGACTGGTATTCCTGACACCCAGTGCCAGTTAACATCTAGCTCTTTCTTGAGGGACTAATGACCAGCCCATGAGTGGGCAGGACTGATTTTTGGTTCAAAAATTAATCTTATGTTATCTGATTTCCTGGTTAGGAACTTTGCCTCTAGCTCAGTGTCCTTTCATAGGGGAAAGACCAAGAGTCAGGAAATATCCAGAAATAACCAGAGATAGCTGAAGTATTTAGAAATAGTCATAAGAGCATTGGATTCACCTCTGTCCATAGCCAGCAGCTGGGATATGCTAGTTATTTAAGGGAGGCCTTTCGCTTTTTCCTGCATCACAGAGAAGGTATAACACAATCAGATACTGGAATCCCAAATGGTGGAAGTACTCAGAACATCATTATAAATCTAAACCTAAGAGAAAAATAGGTTTCCATATGTAAACATGGGGAAGAGACCTTTCTCTTGTTGGATCCTGGTGTAATTTCATTGACAGAATAAATGTCATTTTCCCATCCTTCCAGGAAAGTTGTCTTGAACAAACCTGGACTCCAACTTAGAATAAGAGGGTAAAGTTTACAGGGGAACCATAGAAATGGGGAAACATATCTGGGCAATGTTCTGAGTCTGTGTCTCTAGGTTTTCTCTCTTCATTTTCAGAGTTTCTGCTTAGTTGAGTTCATATACTGAGCATGAGGTGCTTAGGTGATTGCATCAGAAATGTATTTTTTAAGCCAAAGTCAAGCCTATCTAACAAGCCCAATCAACTATGAAAATTGCATTGTATTAGAGAAAAAAAACTCTGCAGTACAGAAAAGGCAGCTTATAAAACACAAATTAAGGCAAGATTATTTTCTGTGAAAAAGGATTTGCTTCAGGCTACATTTAATAACAAATTCCCTAATGCTTTTAAAATTGATTTTTTTTTTGCTGAAAAAGAGAAAACCTATCAATTCCCACACAAATTTTAAGAAGAAATGATGAGATAAAAACAACTATGTCTCCAGCCCTTATGACATAGATTTTATTTTATATGAAATAATCAGAAACAGATGTTTCTTCTCCTCTGCCTACATTGTTGATTTCCCTCTCATTTAGTCTAGATTTATGGATTTCTAATTATGACCCACTCTTTTTATAACTCCTTTGGCTAAAACCTCTCCCAAAATTCAACAATAAGAGGTGACTAATAGATTAAGAATAGCAAGGTTTGGGGAACCAGATAAGCCTTTATATCTTGCCTGGATCACTCACTAGTTATTTGACTTGGGCAAGTTTGTCCATTCAACAAGTGCTTATGTAGCTCCTAAATAAGCATGTGCTGAGCAGTGTTCTGGGCA